GCTGGGAGGGCTTTGCTGTCCCTCCCAATCTGTCCCCATGGTCATGCTGTCCCCGTGGCCATCTCGTTGCCTTGGTAGCCGCTTCAGTTGCCATGGCAGCGGGATGCTGGCTCTGCTGCCTGCTCCATCTGTCAGCTGTGTGTGTGTGTGTGACTCTGTGTGTGTGTCTGTGTACACTCACACACGTGCACACCCCCAAAAGCAGAGGGGCAGCCTGGGCCGGGCCTCAGTGTCCCTCAGTTTTGAAACCAAAAGGAGAATTCCCCCAATGTTGAAGCCAAAGGCAGTGTGGGAGCCAACCAGTCTGATGGGGACTGACCCTGGGTACCCTGTGACCCTCTGTGCCACCAGCTCTGCCCCTTGTCCCCTGTCCCCAAGCCGGGCTGGCACCATATTCCCCGCTGAGCCCCCACAGCACTGTCACACACAGGTTGGCATCACTGCTCTCCCCAAGCTGGACACAGCGAGGGCCCCTGCTGGTGTGGAGAGGGGAGGCCAAGCCCTGTGCCACCCCTACCCCCATCCTCTCCTCTCCTCCACCAGCCAAAAATAAGACCCCGTGGTGGTCGTGCCCTCGTGGTGGTCTCAGCCCAGCAGCCCCTACCTGGCCTCGATGAGGTGGCAGCGCAGCACCCGCGGGTGGCCCTGCCTGGGGACACACAGCTCCAGGTGGATCTCACCCTGCACCTCCTTGTCAGGGTTCACAGGCTGAGCCAGCTGATGCCTGCTGGGGGGAACAGGGTAGGCACCCCGTGGTGCCACCCATGGCCCTGTTTCCCCCCCCACCACCCACTGGTGTCCTCATCCAGCATATAGATGGCGAGGCTGTGGAAGCCACGGGGCAGGCGCAGGGTGAATTCCGCCCCCCAAAAAGGGTTCAGGCTCTTCCACACAGTGGCTGTCCTGATGGGGAGGGGAGAGGTGGTCGCACCCCCCGGGAGAGCCCCTGTCCCCTCCCAGGGTGGGGCAGTGTCCCCATACCTGGCCAACACCTCGTTGTCCACCTTGACCACACAGTAGGGATCGCTGGAGCCGGATCTGCGCAGGGGAGGGGGGTTTGTGGGGTCAACCCCCCTCCTGGGGGTCCTACCCGTCCTGGGGGTCTGGTCCTGGGGGGTTCAAACCCCTCCAGTGAAGTAGCAGCCCCGGGGGTGAGGTGAGTTGCTGGATCTCAGCCCCGTTCCTGAGCTGACACCCCCTTTTCCTGGTGCTCCTGGAGCTGGGGACGTGCTGTGGGTCACCCCAAGCTGTCACCCTGTGCCCCCCACCCATGGGTACCACTGTATCTCCAGCAGCACAGCCCAGCCCGAGTCTCTGTGACAACCCACAGTGTCAGGGTAACACTGATCTGGGCTTAACCCCTTCCACGGGATGGAGGGATGAGAGAAGGATTCAGGGATCCTCCACCTGATCCCTGAAAAGCCCCTTCCCACTCATTTATGGCATCTGGAGTCCCAAATCCCCAGAGGATGACAGGAGGTGCTTCCACAAGGATTGGGACCCTGAGAGGGGTGAGGTAGGTGACTCCAGTCCCTGTCCCTGCCACAGGACAGAAAGTGGGAGCAGGACACCCCATCTGGGTTTGGGGCAGCTGGGAGTGGCACTGGGCACTCCATCCTTGTACTGGGCATCCCATCCTTGTGCCATCCCATTCTTGTGCCCAGACCCCGCAGGGGCACCCAGCATGGTACCGTGACCCCCACCAGGTGGGGAAAGTGGGGCCAGGAGAAGCCACTGTCTGCAGCATTCCCGGCTGGCCGGCCCTGGGAGCGGCCCCGGTGCCAGGCTGGCACATCCGGAGCAGCACGGCACTGCCGAGTCGCGTCCTCGGGGCAGGAGCAGGCAGGGGTCTCCCCACACCCTCCTGCTCAGCACCCCCTTCCCCACAAAGGGTGCAGGTGTGGGAGGGCGGGGGGCTGTGCCCCCCTAGTGTTACCCACAGCCTTGGGGGTGCCCACCCTGTTGGGGGGCAGCAAAGGGATCCTCCAGGGGTTGGGGAAGGGGGGCTGGCACCCCCTGCAGCCCCAGACCCCCACTGTGGAGACAATGGGTCACTGCAATGGGTGCAAGCAGGGACCCCCCAAAACTGTACGGAGAGAACACCCAGGGAGAGCCGAGCACCCAGCACCCCCCTCCCCGCCACATCTCCCGTGGGGGGGTGGTCTGGGGGAAATAGGGGGGTCGAGACCCCCCTTGAGCCACTCACACGTCCTTGGCGGGCAGGTCCTTCCCCTCCACCACCCGGCAGCGCAGCGAGGTGGTTTCGGCCATGCCAGTGAACTTCGGGGTGGGCTCCCAGGAGTGTGCACGGGGGGCTGTGGTGGGCGCCTCGAGCCCCCCTCCCCCCCCCAAACCAGCATCGGCCTTCTCCTCCCCCGCCGCCACTTCTCGCCGTCGCTTCTTCCTTCTTCCTCTTCCTCGGCTGCTTTTCTCGCCGTTCTGCTCCCACCTGCTCCTGCCCGAGCCGCGGGAGAGAGCCAAGGCGGGCACAGCTCGGGTGGGCTGGCGTCGTGCCCACCGGGAGCCCACCGGGAACCCCCGCGGGGATCCCATCACAGTGACCACCCGCGTGCGCGAAGCCCCCCCAGGTTCCAGCGACAGAAGAAGCAGCTGCGGGCACAGGGGACCCCAAGACCCCCATGGGACACCCCACAAAGAGTGCCCTCAGCCCTCAGAGTGGGGGGCTGTGCTGAGTGAAAATAGGGCGTCTCCAGCAGATCTTGGGGTGCCTGTGGGTGCAGCACCCCGATCCCATCGCTGCCAGCACCTCGACTTCTCTGTGCTGGGGACCCCGAGCCGGGGGGGTTGGAAGGCACTGGGGGGAGCTTGGGGGGCTGCTGGGGGGGCTCAGTGAGGGGAGCCAGTGCTTTGAGGGGCTGCTGATGTGGGGACTCGATATAGGGACACGAGGTCCTCAGGGAGGTGCTGGATGGGGGGGCTCAATGTAGGGGTGCTGATTCTTGAGTGGGCTGTTGGGGGGGTTCGAAAGG